CCCCAAAACCCCAAAACCCCAAAACCCCAAAACCCCTTTAATAAGATATCTGATTGAACTCATTAAGTGGATAAACTTGAGTTTTTGATTGATGAGCTTACTGCTCTGTATCTTCTCCGGTTTTCACTCTCTTTTCTTGTCTCTCTTCATCATCTTTTTGGCTATAAATTAGATGCAAACAATACCTGTCCTTTGAATTATTTGATTTCTGACTACTACTTCCGTCTCTCTTGCTCTTCTTTATCTGGGCTTTTTTTATTTCAGCATGAAGGTCCCCTCCCTCATCAATAATCTTAGTAAACTGGCTCTCAGTGAGAGCATCTGTGTAGTTAACCTTTGTTCTCTGTCTTTTACCCAGAAGTCCATGGTCTTCGATCCTTGTGATCTCAGGTTCATGCTTGACCCAGTCAGGCACCTCCCATTCCTGTATCAGTCTGTAATTAATATGCTTATGATGGACTTCTGTTTGTCTTTCTTTAATCTCTCCCATCATATAATCTCTGTTTTCCTCTGTATATCTCTTTTTGTCCATTTCCTGGAAGAGGGCGAATTCCTCATCTGATCTACTGATCATTTCATTCAGTTGTTCATCATCAGGGACTTCATTTTCGTCATCGGATTCTTCATCAGCATCTGCCTTAATAAGGTCTTCTAGCTTCTTTTGTCTGTCCTGCTCGCTAGCTTTGTTGTTGAACATACCAGCATCAATAATTTTATTGTCAAGAGACTTCTTGTAAGAGGCTCTAGTGAGAATACCCTCTTCAATAGCAGTCTTGGTGATAAGTCTGAAGACTCTCACTTCGTTCCGCTGGCCGATCCTATGAGCCCTGTCCTGAGCTTGCAGATCCATCTGAGGGTTCCAGTCAGAGTCGAAAATAATGACTGTATCTGCAGTCTGCAGATTCAGGCCATGACCTCCAGCACGAGTGGAGAGCAGGAAGATCTTGTACTCAGTATCTGGAGTATTAAATTCCTCCATTGACTGAGCTCTTACTTCAGATTTTGTACCTCCATCAAGTCTGAGGTGTCTGAAACCTCTGTAGTTGAAGTAATCTTGCATAATATTCATCACATTGGTGAACTGAGAGAAAATCAGCACCTTGTGATTTGTAGCAAGGAATTTGGGTAGCATTCTATCCATCAGTTCAAACTTTCCAGAAGTTCTATACAGATTAGCTCCTAAATATTGATTCTCAGAGTAATCAAAGAATTGGTATGGATGATTACAGATCTTCCTTAACTGCATAACAGTATTCTGTAATGCAACTCTCTTGCCTTTTTCTTCGAGACCAAGGAAACCATGGTCTTGAATTTGTCTATAATTAATCTTTTGCCAAGAAGATAACTCTACTTTCAGCACGATCTCGATCTTGTCTGGGAGTTCTTTCTCTACTTCTTTCTTGACTCTTCTGAGTAAAAATGGTCTAAGGACTTGGTGAAGTCTGTTGATGAGCAACAGCTGCTCTTCCTCAGTCAAATCCTGAGCTTTCTTCTCATCCACTGAGACCTTAGTGTTTCCAGTATTATGCATCTTGCTTAGAGGTTTGTCAAACCAGTTCTTGAATTCTTCACAAGACTCAAAAATCTTAGGGAGAATGAAGTTAAGCAGAGCCCAAAGCTCGCTCAAATCATTCTGAAGTGGAGTACCTGTCAGGAGGAGTCTGTTAACACTTTGGTATTGCTGACCAAGAGTAAGGGCAAATTTTGATCTCGAATTTTTCATCCTGTGTCCTTCATCAACTACAATGTACTGCCATACAATTTTTGATAAAGTTGATTTATCTCTCATAATGTAATCGTATGTTGTCAGAATTACATTGAACTTCTCGTTTTTGAGTCGTTGACCTAGCTCTGCTCTAACACGAGGAGAGCCTTTGTAAATCATTATATTCATCGTAGGAGCCCAGTTTTCAAATTCCATCTCCCAATTGGAGATAGTTGTCAGGGGAACAACAACAAGGAAAGGACCTTCATTCTTCTTTACCTCCATAATATAAGAAAACAGAGAGATTGTCTGGATCGTCTTTCCAAGTCCCATCTCATCTGCAAGGATGCCGTTAAGATTGTTGTTGTAGAGTGAAACAAGCCACTTTAGTCCAGCCATCTGGTATGTCTTCAAAGTTCCATGAGAAAGCATCTTGGGTTGCTTTACTACTTCTTCCTGAATAGAATGAGTCACAGAATAGTATTCCTGACTTCCTTTAATAAGCTTATCTTTAATTCCATCTCTCTCAAGATCCTCATAAGAATCAGTTTGAATTTTCTCTTCTTCCAAATCAGCAGAATCCCCTTTCATGCCCTTGATTTCAGCACTTTCTTTCTTCTGTACAGTGACTTTGGCTCCGAGTCTTGCTAAGTACTGGTTGGTTTGCTCTAAGATATGTAGAAGTCTGGAGTTCTTCTCCTTCTTAATAAGCTCGAGATACTCTTCAAACTTGTTCTCTTTAAGAACCTTGAGTCTCTCTTTTTCTTCCTTATCTTTAGCCTGCTGCTCTTTCTTCTCAATCCAGTTGAGCTTGTTCCTGGTCTCAAAGGCAAACTTCTTTTGTTTGTTAGATTTCTTCTTGTGGAACTCACTGAAGTTCTTAGCATGTGCAAGTATCTTATTTAAGAACTCTCTGTGTCTAGCTTTCTTCCTATTTTCCTGACCATTCCTCATTTGTTGCTCAAATCTCTCGATAATTTTTCCCTCCTTTTTGTTCTGAGTCGCGTAAATTTTGCTCCTTTTGTAAAAATGACGGTCTACAAGCACATTTTCGTAGATCTTGTCACCATGGGTTAGAACTTTGAAGGCAACTTCAGCGTCCCTATAGCCTACTTCAGGAGGTAAGCTTCCATCCTTGTACTTTTTGATGACTTTGTCCCTGATCTTCTTCTGGAGAGGTTTGAGTTCAAGCATTCTGAGCATCATTTTAGCTTCAAATCTAACCTTTTCACTCAAATCTGGTAGTTCAAGGAGCTCCTTCAATTCGCATATCTTTCTCTGGTCTTCCTCAGCTTCGTTAAATTTGGAAATATTCTCTGGTACAGTTTCGAGATGGTTCTCGCTGATCTTGACAATCAGCTCTTTATTGTTGGTCAGTTTATCATCTAAAAATCAAGCAATTAAAACAAGATTTTAACTATTAATAAGTCTTTAAACTTTAATAAACAGAAGAAAGACTTAGCAGGAAATAAAGGAACCCCTAGTGGAAAAGCAGTAATGAATTCTTCCTGGATACTTACCGATAAGCCTTGTGCAGTCTAAGTCGTACTCTTCAAATTTCTTCCTATAGGACTCCATGGCACGCTCATGGACTTGCTTAGTCTTCATCGCAATAGTCTCCGAGTTAACCTGCATACTCTGATCCCCTTCCTTCTCAGGCATGTCTTGGTTCTTAATGACCATCTTGAATGCTTCTATCTGACTTCTCAACGTAGCCAGGTGGTGGTCCGACCATCTTGCATTACTTTTCATTGATATTTTCAGATTAAATTTATTAATTAATAAAATTCATAAAATTAGGCATGCTTATAATACTTTAGTTCAATCTTTCCCTGAAAGGAAGGGGTTTTGGGGTTTTGGGGTTTTGGGGTTTTGGGG